AAAAGTTTTTCCATCACATTTTTGTAGCCCTGACAATAAACTGTAGTAATCATCGTTCGGACAATACACAAAATTCATGATGCAGGTTTTTGTCGCCAAATTAGATTTGTTCATTAATCTTCCAGTAAACATGCGAAACTGTATGTCGCAAACTACAAAGACATGCGCATCTCACAAGCTACCGTATATGCGTCTCAATATTTCGTATCTTTATTCGCAACAAACAAACAACAGCGAAACAAAACAATGGCAACAAATAAATCAACAAAAAAAACTAGACATTTGTAAAATTCATTCCGTGTAGAAGCAATTCAGGATGTCTTGGACTGATTGCGGGTAGGCTTCGGGGGCGGAGGGCTGAAAAGTGCGATTAGAAACAAGGCAAAAAAACCGGGGTTATCGAAAAATAAAGCAAAAACAAACCGTGGATTGCGCTACACTTGTTGGAGCGGCGCCCTGCTTTTCCTTCTTCTTCTTCTTGGCCCGTTCCTTCTTGTCCAACCGCTGCTCCAGTTGGCTGACGAAAGTCGAACGGGCGATCCCTAAAGAAAGGTTTTCCTGAATTTTGCTATATACTGACCATCAGTGCTTTTCGTAGCAGGTGTCGCTTGCGTTGCCTCCGGCTGCTCATCTCTCTGTGATTCCTAAAACATAAGATTAGGGCCGTTAAAAGGCAATTATCATACCTGTGCCAATCGCAGCCTCTTTTGCTGCAACTTTTTCGACCGCTTTGTCATTGGCACCTAAAGAGGGCAGGCTTTACATCTGATATGGCAATCGTTTTACCTTCACAATATGGGTCGCGTCATTCTCGGTCATCTCGTCCTCGGTAAGAGCCACCTCAATATCCGGCGCTCCACCGTCAGACTTTTCAAACATGAGCTCCTTGGTGCGATTGCGCTTCCGCTTCATGGAGTTGAAGTTTTTCTGAATCATCACCAATGGCCCCAAAACAGCAAATACCGTTTTCTGCGCTAGTCGTGCTTGATTCGCTCTATTCGTCTCGTCCTCCAGAATCTCCAGCTCATCCTCGGTGAGGTTGACGGCCAAGTCTGGGGTTTCTTGAGCAACGCCGCCTTGGTGCAGAGGCCCCTTTATTCCCTAAATTTACAAAACATCAACCGCTTAATCCCTGGAACATACAAAATGAGTCGGGTTCTCCTCGTTTTCTTCCATCTCGTCCTCGGTCAGACAGATATCCACGTCCGGAATCGGTTCGCTTGTATTGTTCAATAGCCGCCGGTTCTCCCGAGCTTTTTCGTCGATGTGAAGGAGTTGCGAGTCATCGTCGACAGTCTCCTAAGAGCAAATTAATTAAGGAAGAATACGGCAACTGTCAATTCAAATAAAACCACCGCACCTTCCCAGGCTGGAGAGAGCGGACGCGCAGCGAGGCGACATCATGAAGTCTGGGCCGTGCCAGAGAATCTGTCAAACCGAGCAGGAGCGGACGGACAGCCGATGTCGGGCACAGAACGCAAAGTCGGCGAGCAATCTAAAGCAGTCATACGCGCAAAAAAACATGTTCTTACATGAACAGGCGGCGGAACGTGCTCATTTTGCGCCGTCAACAGCGAGGCCACGATGACGTGCGCCGCTTCGACGCCGGGATACCGCAGCGCCCATTGACATGCCGCACGCGCCACTGTTTGGAGCACCTACAAGAAAGGTCTTGAAGTTAAGATCCAACAATTTTGTCGATTCTTTCGCATTATCCGGAATGGAACGGAATTTTCTTTTGCATCCAACTTTATAATATTAATGGGGGAAGTGCTTACTGTTTTTACTATTCGAAAAAGGCAAAAGCGTCAAAAAGTACCAAAAAATATCAATTTCGACCAAAATTCGGTTTACAAAAAATTTTAAAGTTTTCTTAATAGTTTTCCACTTAAAATGCAATCAAATTTGACCAAAAACACTATTAAAATACATTATGATAGGCATTTTGGCGTCTTAGCCGAAATTCGGTCCCGCCGGTGAAACGGAAGTACCATTTTCTCTGAAATCGTTACCTCAGGCTTCACCAAGTACCCACAGCGCGTGATGATCTGCGAGACCGCATAGGCCGCTTCGTTTTTGTATTCCTGAAACCACAAAGTGAATGTTGATGCCGGAAAAGCTTGACATAAAAAAACTAAACGAACCTGTTCGTGTAGCGGCTGAACCATTGAAGTCCAGATGTCAAAAAGACGCGTCTGGAGACCGGAAGATGGCCCGTAGAGCTCTGCGTATTTGCCAATGCAAGCGAAAAGAGCGGCCGAAGGAGTGTCCAGGTTTGATGTCTGAAAAGGAGGCTCTTAGAGGTAAAAAAACAACAATGAGCCAAAAAAAGCGCGCAACTCACCAGCAGCGATACAATCTTTGGCACCAGGCTGAGCAACGCCGCCCCGGAAGCTTCGGCCAATCGGGTGATGATGTCGAAAGCGAGGGGTTGCAGCTCCTTCTCGCGCAAAACCTGCGCCAGCGTGGCGATCAGCTCGTTCAGCGGCACCGATTCCCCTAAAATAAAACAAATAAAGTTTCCTGGTTGCTCACAAACCGGGTTTGGCCTTTCCCAAAATCTTTGCCAGCAACTCCAGCAATGTTTTGGCCAATTTGCCACGATGCGCCGGCTGTCCGAGCACTTTCAGCTGTAGAATCTCCGACTGGTCGGCTTCCTGGAAACAAAAATTTTAGTAACAGCTCTCGCGCTCACCGTAGTCATCCGCTTGCTGAGCACGATGGTGAGCGTCTTCAAGATTCGAGGGATCGCCGATGATCCATGCCTAAATACTCTTAGAGTAAAAGGAAACAAACAAAAACCTGAGTGCAAATGTCGCCATCGCCGCTTCTTTCCCTTCCTCGGCAGCCTGGCCCTCATTTCGCACAGAATCGTCGAGGAGATCGAGCAGGACGGCGTCAATCGTCAGACTGTGGTCTTCGATCGTTTTCTGCAAAAAAAGTGTTTTTTTTCACTAAGAATTTGGCGGCTGCTACCTTCGGATTCCTGAGCAGCAATTCCATGATGAACAGAGCCGACGACGTGGATGCTGTCTGTCGGTGCATCGTCGCCACTCGTTGCGTCAACCAGTTGCGCGAACTGAGAAATGACGCCGGGGCGGAACTAAAACAAAGTCATAGTCGTTCAAAGCGACAAACAAGGCTTGCGATCTGCTAACGCTGATTTAATAGTTTCTGAACAAGCCCTGGCTTTCAGAACCGCTGCACAATCACGGTTTTCGAGAAAATTTGCTCGGAAAGGGCGGCTTTTGCCTGCACTTTTATGAGTTTTTTCCAAGCTTTTTATCGTTCAGCTGTTTTTCAAAGTAAAACATAATTTTAAGCGCCTTCGAATAGCCCATGTCACAACACCAGACTAGGATCAGACGTACTTTCGAGTAGCAAAAGCCAGAGCCGTCCAGAGCAGCTCCTGTTCCAGATCGTCCTTCGGCGTCAATTTGTGAAGCGCGTCGAATGCTGCCGACTCGATTTCGGGCCGGCCGTGCTTGAACTTGGGGAGTTGCTTCCGTATCAGCCTCTCCATGGCTAAAAAGCATTTTATCAAGAATATCCGGCTTCGTTATCCCCATAATTCAAAAGGCGATATATTTAACGATAGTAGCAGTAAACTCAAAAGCGCAGTACACGTATGGACGTATTTCATTCGTTTATTCTGTACATATCAAAAGGCGAATTGATCCGTTACAAACCAGTTAAATCAATAAAAAACACGAAATATCCTCTGTTCTCTAAGCACTGTTTTAATAAAATGAGTTCTTCATCTAGGCATGTTCCTTGCGCTGCTTCCGGTGAAGAAGGCGCCTAACAAGAAATATATGAAGAGAGCTATTCACTTTACCGTTCTCGCTCATACTCCTTGATTCGCATCAAATGGTCCTCGTATTCGCATTTGTCCCACGCGCCGCGCTGATCGTCGCAAGCGTGGCCGGCAAACGGCGCGTTTTTCGTCTATAAAATACATAAATCATCATATCTTGTCAAACTTCAATTCCTGACAACAACCTCTAGCCTAAAAAGCCTACCTGACACTTCATAAGGTCAATCAAGTGATGCGCACAATAATCCCGCTGTCCAGGCTTCAACCGGAACTGCTCCATCTCTTCCCAAGTGGCTTTCATCACGCGTTCCTAAAAATTAATGTTACAAAGATTCTGAGATTGCCAGTAACCTTTCGCGGGCGCTCAAAGCCAGCTTGCGGATCGAAGGTAGGCGGGCGATCGGTTCGCGGTGCCGTCTCCGGGGAAAGAGCCCCCTCAAGCGAGACGGACAGCTTGGTGCCCATACCTGAAAAAGAACCTTTTTGTAATTCTAGTTTCGAAAAACAAGAAATATAGAAACAACTTTTTCTATAATAAAAAAAATAGATTTTACAATTCTTTTCGCCAAGTCAACGGATGCTGTCCCTTTCCCCTGCGTAAGTGTGGATAGGAGTGCTGCGTTGGCTTTTCCTCCCCCCTCCAAAAAGCTTTCCGCAAAAAGGCTTCTATTTTCCACTTTTATTTCGGTAAAAAGATGCTATTGGCGTGTATTTCTGACATTTCCCATTGGAAGCCAATGGTTCAATCCTTTATTCAAATCACAAAATACGCAGGCAAAGTATCAATGGGGGCAAATACCCGTGGGGGAGCTTGAAAGGTGAGGTGAAATAGAGTTATTTCCGAAATTCTCGATTGGCTAGTCTTGGACGCGGCTCTTGACCGACATATAGGGCCTCAGATAGAGCCACCAGTACTGAAAAGGTAATGGTAATGGTATAGTTTCCTGTCCCTTCCCGTGCCCCCAAACTGGAGGGCAAGCTAGCAGAGATCCGTGGGGATCCTGATAATTTGCGCACCCACCAAAAGGTTGAAAATGATGAAAAATACGGGGAATAGTGCCCTGGAGATGAGGTCTATGCGCCGGCTGTTTTCGCGGTATTTCCGGTGCCACGTGTCGTGCCACCAGGAGACTTTCTGAAATGGAGTACGATACTGCACAAAATACGCCGACAGCACTCACGGGGTGCCGAGGAGCAGACGACGTGTGCTGGGGGTTGGCGAAGATTATTGGGGAATCGGGAGGGACGGAAGAGTAACCGGGTAGCTCATAGTCAGCGCCGGTCCTGAAGAGAAGTGCAAAATGGAATACGAGTGACTTGTGAAGGTTTAAAAAATTTTAGACCGTTATTAATGTGAAAGTCAACCTACAATCGATGAAAGAAATTGCTCGATCGCCGCCCTCGATTCTGGCACAGATCCTTGCGCGCCGCCCAGTTGACCAGCGCGAACTCGAGCAGCGCTCCGAAGATGAACGCTGGAAACGGTAGAAATTTTTCCTAAATCTCTGTGACAGATCGCTTGTTAGTTGCCGAAAACTCACCCAAACAAACCCCGATCCAAATGTCGATGGCTTTCGTGTAGCTGACTGGGGGCAGATTTGCGTTCACGCCGCTCGCCTAAAGTCCGCACAATTATTACCAATTTTTTTGTGCAAATTTAGCTATTTTCAAGTGGCAACACTCGTTAGAGACCTTCGAATTCTCTAAAAATTTTAATTTGGTCGAAAAATCGATGTTTGTAATTTGGTTCTTTCGCATTTCGGGGAAAGCAAATTGTGTGGGTCTAGAAACACCTAATACCTTAGTAGGGAGTATTTGATACTGTTTTTAGGCAATTAAAGCTATATTTCAGCCAGAAAAATATCTAAAACTCAAAACGTCGAAATTTTTTGTCAAAAAAAATCAATATTTTTGTATTTTTTAATACCAAATTTAGATGTGTAAAGCACTTCCGCTATTTATAGTTCAAAATGATCCTAAGAAAAAAAATTTGGTGTTCCCCCGCTAATGGGAACGAACCTTTTTAATTATATTAGTAAGGTTTTACGTTCGGCAATAGTAAAAAACAGCTTAGAAACACTTATTCTATTATTACTGGATTAGAGCCATTCACCTGAGTGGTCATCGTGAGCAGCGTGGTCACCCCCAGGGTTACACGCGCGGGCACCGAGTCCTTGTCGAGCCTAGAAAGATATTTTACAGGCCGTCGAAGCCAAGATTTACCAAAAAGACACCCAGGAAACGGCCACCAGCATAAAGGAAGGGATGTACAGCTGCAGCAGATAGTAGGAGAACTCGCGCTTCAACTCCAGGATAGTACTCAGGCAACTGTAGACACCTGAAAAAACGCCTATCCCAAAAAAATCCCAGTCTGACCGGTATTTGTAACCGATGTACAGTTTCCGGTTGTCACTGACGATAGCAGGAAAGAGGGCAGCGACAAGCTCAAGCCTTGCTTGATCTGGATCGGCGACTCGTCTTTCCATGTATATTCTAAAGCATTTTTTACATATTTTTTATGCCCACCAATATCGTCGGTGGTGTAGGCGTAGGACGCAAAGTCGATCTTGCACTCTTGCACTGAAAAACGGTACTGGACTGTTAGCAGGGGGGTTATGGCGGGGGAGGTAGCAAAAATGTTTTCTTAGGATCGATTCTCATTTATACAAAAAGCTGAAAGGTTTCTAAGCTGTTTTATGCTATTCCTAAAAATACAACTGACAATTTTTTACTAAAAAAATACAAAAGATATCGATTTTTGCCAAAAAAATGGCCGTTTTTGGCCAAAATTTACCCTTAGAAAACGTGTTTTGAACGTTTTTAAGATAGTTTTCTCGTTGAAATATAGTTTATTTTATTAAAAACACTCTTAAAATACGGCCTATTAAGTTCCTAAGGATTTCTAGACTTATACAAAAAAAATTGCTCCGCTCCCCCGATAATGCGAAAGAACCTATGGTTTTTGTGATAGACAGATGAAAATCATCAAATCAAAAATTCAAAATTGAATTTCCTTGGAATTTGCATGACTTTTTAGTGTTCCAAAACTACCAAAAACCATAGAAAGACAATGTAAGGTGCTAAAAATTTTTGCTGGTAGATGAAGATGATGCTTGAAGGGCAGCTAGCTCCGCCTGCCCCCCTACCCCCGATAACAGTCCAGTACCAAAAAAACCGATCTAAAACCATGTAAACACAAACCATCTAGCGGGTAATTGGACAACCGCATCGGGCAGGAAAGGGTTAACGTCAACCGCGTGCTGTATAGGATTCGACCCGTTCCTAAAACCAGAGAAACGTTAGAACGTATACAATAGGAAAATCACCGTTGAAAACACGTATCAAAACGTTCGGCGTGTCGATGTCGTGCTTCTTGCCCTCCTTTTCGTTTTGAAAGAACGTGTCCGGCATCTGGGGATCAATTTTTTGATAAATTAAATTTGTAAAGATACCCAAATCTTTTGGCCGGGTGAAAGCACGATGTGGGAAAGACGATCCGACACGAAGAAAAGGCGCTCGTCCACCCATTCCTCTCTAAAAATGCGCTTCTGCATTATCGGGGGAAAGCATTTTTGTTCTCTAGGACCGAACTTTCTAATATAAATAGAGCTCTCTCACTCTCTCTCTCTCTCTCTCTCTCTCTCTCTCTCTCGCTCTCTTTCTAATCACTAAAGTTATTTTTATAATCCCGAGACGCAAAATTTAGAATTTTCTCGCAAAAAAAGACAAAAAACGATCTCGGTTTTTCGACCAAATTTCAGATTTTGAAAAATCTCTAAGTTTTCAGATCGTTTTCCACTTGAAACATAGTTGACTTTTATTAAAACATTATGAAAATATTTACTATTACTTTACTAAAGCTTTAATGAAAAATTTAAAGTTATTTTTGACAATTTTTAATTTATGATTATGATTTTAAAAAAATTTGGTCCTACTACCATAATTGAAAAGAACCCTAAAATACATAAAAAATAGTTGATCGCCATGAATAGTCTGGATAATCAAAAAAACTTTGAAATACCTAAAAGTAAAGTGCAGCGAGTATTCCATGTTGACGTCGTCGACTTTTGAGATGCTTCTGAAAAGAGACGATTTGCGCATGAACAGATACAAATCATAAACCTTTTATATAGTAATGTTCACATTAATTATAACTAAAATACAATTTATACTTAAGAAACGATACCTGAGATACATGTTGACGGTGACGAGCACGGGTCCAGTTGGATCTTCCTCGTCAGGTGGCGGCTGAAAATACGTAAATTGACAAATCGACAAAAAGGTAAGATGATTTATAGATTTAAGAATTAAAACACATTAATAAGATGTACTTTCACAAGTATTAAAATACCTGTAAGCTGCCGCGCGGTCTGACCCTCCAGTCATAATTGCTTTCCGGGTTTTCGACAAGTTCTTTGATGATGCGCTGTTCGTCGAGCAGCTTTTCGTATCTAAAAACCCTTTGCATTGCCGTTGCCTATCCACACATTGTACTGCGTAATTTAAAAGCTAAATTTGTTATGGTTAAATGGTACTTTCGCAATATCGGGGGGGGGAGCCGACTTTTTCTAAGGATTTATTTTCTCTGTAAATTTTGGAAGCTAAACAGTATTGTATTATTCCTGAACGTGAAAACGTTATAAATTTTTGTAAAAATATCGCTTTTCAAACAAAAAATTTTCCACGTTTCGTTGCTTGTTTTCCACTTGAAACATGGTTCAATTTCACTAAAAAGCCCATTAAAACACTTACTATTGAGTTCCTAGATCTTCCCGGAGTTATCGGAAAAAATTAGGTTCCCACCCCCCGATAACGCGAAAGCTCCAAGTGAGTAAAGGGTAATTATTTAGAAAACCTTACCCAGGTATTTCAGCTGCGCCGGCGATCGAATAGGTCAAGACGAGCAGGCTGAACATCATTTCAGCATTGAGCCCCTAAAGTCTGCTGTTTCGGGGATGGGGTAGGCTAGCAGGGGTCCTTTAGGACCTGGGAAAAAGTCAGAAGAATCCGTGGGCCGTATATAGTAACGTATCGGGCAGGAATACGGCTGGGGCTTTAGAAATAATTTCTACTAAATGATCGTCACCACTACAGGATGCCCCACAGCCCTCTTCTTTCCTTTTTCGGCTCGGGGGTTTACTTGCGGGCGGGGCAGACCTGTTTTGTGTAAGCGGAATTTTTATTCCTGAATTGGATATTGAAAAAAGTTTTAGTGAAATTATTAATTTTTTTTTTTTTTTTTTTTTTTTTTTTTTTTTGGTTTGGTTTTTGTTTTTTTAAATTCACCAAAATATTTTTTTTTTTGGGTTTTTGTTTTGTTTTTTTTTTAAAATTGTTTTTTTTTTTTTTTTTTTTTTTTTTTTTTTTTTTTTTGGGAGATAAGTCTTCCCCCTGGAGGAATTTTTTGCTTTACGAAAATTACGTCTAAATTGGTATAAAAATTGACAGCACTCTGAGACCGACCCGAAAACGACGATTTTTGGGACAATACTCAAAATCGGCCGGCTAATTGCGAAAACATAGCCAAAAATGAGTACCAGCGTTTCCCAAAAAGCAGTTTTTAGCGATAATTTTTTGTTTTACAAGATTTTGCGTAGAAAATTCAGCTGCACATAGTTTTTATAGGTTCCCCTCGCTGGTAAAAATTTGGGCCCGATCGGATAGAAAATGTCCAAATGCTCGCTAATTGCGAAAACATAAAGGTCACTAAAAAAAGCCAGAATTACGACCAAGTCACAAAAAACTACACGGTGGCCTGAATTGCGTCCTTTTGGGGATGGCCCCCCGGTTGGTGGTGAAAATGGAGGATAGAGACCAGTCCCAGGCCATCAGCAATTATTCAGCGCCTCCCTCAAAGGGTCCCCGTCGGCTGGCCAGCCATGCCATAACTTGCTTATTGTCTTTCTTTGCTAACCAATGCGCTTGAGCCGCATGTTTTGTGTCCGCGGAGCCGAAGGCACGCTCAAAATCTTGGCGCTACGGGTTTCGGTACTGTGCTTTTAGCGGGGGGGACTAATAAAAAAAAAAAAAAAAAAAAAAAAAAAAAAAAAAAAAAAAATAAAAAAGTGTAAAAATTAAAAATTTATAAAATTTTTTAAAAACTTAAATTATATAAGTTAATAAAAATTTAAAAAAAATAAATTATTAATAAAAATTTTAAAAAGGGGTAAATTTTACGGATAGAATATAATTGTTTCTTTAAGTATTAAAATAAATAATAAATATATATATCTCAAAAAGATTTACATAAGGTAGAATTTTCAGAATCTGTGATTTTTCACACGAAATTTCCACTTCCGTAAATTACTTGCTATCGAGCCTATGACAAGTTCGAGATGGTGAAACTTCCAGGTGGTCAAAATTTGAGCTTCTACTTGTCCAAGATTCCTATTCGATTCGATAAATTATATTGAAAATTAAGTGCGACAAAATTCAGGGCGAATCGCTGAGCGGCAAAAGTGAAGCGCCGCCGGGCTCCGCTGGGCATTAATTCGCTTTGGCCCAGCCCCGGATCTGCGATGCGCCCAAGGAGCGTCTGGATGGGAACCTAATTTTGAGACGCACCCCTGACCTCAAATAAATATGACGGAGGAGATACCCGCCGAAAACTGCTCCCCGTCGCCTCAGGTGCCAATCGCCCGCCCCCCGAGAAAAGTGGAAATAAATGAGGCGCACCCCCCTCACCGACGATGAAATCCGAGAAGCCCTACCCCCCTTTCCTAGGCCCCCAAAGCTCCCCACGCGCTCGTTGAGCACCACCATATGGGGCCGGTCACAAAAGAATTGGCACTCGGCCAAAATAACCAAATTGGGCCTCCAAGGGGGGCTCGATTTCAGCCGAAGCAGCAGCTCCTCCGTTTGTTTGTTGAAGGAGTGCCGGCTGGAATCCGTTAAGAGGTCTTGGCGGTGGGCTTTATGCTTCCAGGGTACCAGTTGCAAAAAAGCATAACCCGAAGCGGCCGCGCAAACGGTTTTGCAGAGAAGTATCATTCTCAAAATTTGGTTCTTTAGTTTTTCCGGGGGATTTAATTTTTGCTGCGACAATATAAGCCTTGTAACGTCATCTCAATTACCTGTATAGTCGTGTTAAAGGGATACCCAACCTTTTCGCGGCTCAAAAAGCAAAAACCATGACGCGGGCGGGGTCGAACCCGGGACACCGTTTGGTAGGCCTGGATGCTATCCATTGGGCCGTAGTGGCAAGCCATTGGATGGGATGGGGACGCCACAAGAGGGAAGGTGGCCGAATTCTGTGCGGCATTGGGGCCCATTGCCGCACAAAATTCGAGCGTCATTAATACTGCCTGGAATCCATAACTATATATTTGGCCAAAACCATGGTTATCCTTTAATAACGCTACGCCATCGAACAAGTTTAGAAACCTTACAAAGGTGCCAAAATTTCAAAACTGGGTCGAAGGTCCGATCGCCAAAAATAAATCGCCCCTGGAAATCTTAAAAACACCCAAAAATTTTAACCCGCCAGTGACCAGGACTACGGTGACCATAGACGCAAAATGCTGGAACGTTCTGACGACAGACAGCCCCCATCGTGCATAATTAGGGCATCAGGGCCCCAGCTCAAAGGAGTGGCCCAATGTCACGACAACCCCAGGCTCTTGAGGTGCCACAAGTGGACAGGCCCACCAAACTTGGCGGAATAAGCCGCGACAGCCTCGTCAGAAGCACTCCCCGGCTTAGCAACTAAGGCCCCGCTCCTGAACTTCCTAGAGATAAAACAGGAACTAGGCCGCTAATGTTGAAACAAAGACTAAAACTTCTTGGATCCCTGAAGTAGATACACGGAGGCAAAAACAGTGGCTTGTTGGCTGCGATGGATCCGCGGCTTCGAAAGCGGCTGTCTGCGGATCACGCTTGTTGACTAATCGCGATACTTCAGCCCCGAGTATGCCGTGGTCGCCCACTCATAAGCACGAGGGAGCTAGGGGACGGAGATAGTAGGAATGGCCTATCATTCCAGCGCTTTCACAGACAGCCAGCCGCTTCAGAAAAGCGACCATAGCCCAGCACAGGAAACGAGTGGAAAATTGCGTCCCAGATGCCACCACCCGGACAGCCGACCGAGTTAGGGATGCATTAGTTCATGGCGGGAAGGAGCCAGCAGAGTTGAGAAGTGCAGCGGCAGGACAGCACCCCAGTACAAACCAGTCAAGTTTTAAAAGGCAGTTCGTCTCCTCACCTTCAAAAATAATCTTCGACTTCCTTGTCAAACTGCCAATCGCGGTAGCACAAAAAAATTTATTAGTGCAACAAAAATAAGTTGGATGGGAGTTCGTAAATAATTTTATTTTTATAACAAAACAATTTTTTAAACAGCCTCTTTCCTTCCT